GCAGCGCTCCCGTCCAGCCCACGTAGAAAAAAAGGCAGTTCGCGGTGCCGCGCGCTTCCAAGGAGCGCGCGCAGGCAATGGAAGCAGGGGACGTTTAGAAACGTCCACCTGCTTCGGCAGTGCCCCCCGTCTGGCCGTTTATCTACAAGGGCCAAACGGGAAGTGGTTAAAACAGTTTGTTCTTTTTGACAACCTCATACCTCAGCTCACGAATGGTCTTGCCGTCTTCCGTATTTTGAAATGAGGGATTTCGTGGGCACGGTTTTCTGCTTTTCTTCTCCACAGTTTTATCATCACCACGCAATCCAATTGACCGTTTCTCAAATTCTTGTTAACCCTTTCCACCTAATAGCTGGATTACAGTGAAATCCCAGCCAAAACCTGCTCCCAGCCCCATTCTAAGTCTAACCTATCCAACCTTGTAAAGAAAAGTTCGCTATACCTACCTATTCTGAAGCTGCTCTGGTCCGGTCCCAGGCTGAGCTGTAGAGCAGAGGCAGCCAACGACAGATGCCCTATAGTATGTCTACGGGTGACGTCATCTCCTTTTCATTCCCCAGCCGTTGTCACCTTTCTCTTTCTATGCAGAAGCCGCCACTGGAGACCGGACCAGAGCAGCTTCAGAATAGGTAAGTATAGCAACCTTTTTCTTTAGTTTTGACTGAAATTCCACTTTAGGAGGAAGGGTTGGGGTGGGTGATGTATGTGGAGGACTCTTCCAACTTGCTCTTTCTGCTGTCGCTCACTACGCTGATCAATCTAACATGGGCACAACCTTTAAATGGTGTATTGCCCTAAAACAAAAACCCCAATGTGGACATATTTCATCATTAATGTGGCATCGTAAGGGGTGACATAATATAGAAATATGCCCAAGGTAAATAAAATGGATGCCACCATTTTTTTAAATTTTCTCTCTTATTGGCTAGAACCCTGGTGTTCAACCTGCAGCCCGAAAGCCATATGTGGCTTTTTGGCACATCTTGTGTGCGGGATCCCTGTAGGCACAAATCTTTGTTTCCCATTATGCCTTCTTATAGCGGTGATTTCCAGCAGTCTCATGTAGTATGTCTCCAGTCTTTGACTATCTCTTGGACATGCCCCCAGTCTACAACAACTTTACAGCATATTCACAGTCTTTGACAGTCTCCAGCAGCATGTAAGTAGTCTCTGACCATCTCTTGTATCATGTCTACATTCTCAAAACCATCTTTTGTGTTATATTTACAGTCTCTGACCATCTCTACTATCATGTCTACATTCCCTGGACATCTCCTGTACCTGTCTGCAGTCTCAAAACCATAATTTATACCTAGCATTTACAGTCTCTGACCATCATTTGTATTATATTAACAGTTTCTGACCATCTTCTGTATCATGTATACAGTCTCTTTGCCCATATCCTGTTGTGTGTTTGCTGCTTAGGACATTGAATATTCACTGAATTTTATGTGCGGCCCATTGGTGATGTTGATGACCACATCGGTGACCGACACTGGCCTAGACGCTGTTCGTTGGGTGGTCCGCCTGTAATTGTTGACCAATAGAAAGGCGCAAATTATGGGCAAAGTTGAGCTAAAACCTTTCATTGGGTCCAATAATCTACGCATTGGTGTTTAGAAAGTTTATACTTTGTTTGTACTCACTCCAGAATCTGAACATCTCACTATCGCTGACTGATCTGTGTCAACCTAGGGCCTAGGCCATATGACTGCAACGAATTCACATGCTAGGTATAAAATATAGCCCCCTCAGCCTCTACAATACACTTCAGTTGATGACTCCATTGACCTTGTATACCTCTTTGTGTTAACTTTAAAATATGGAATACGTGAGTCAGGCCCAAAATGTTTTGTTGATTTATTTATTTACTGGCTGCATCAACTGTTTACATCAAATTAAAAAGAGTACAAAATAAAAAATGTTAAAAAAAGGGAGATGAAAACAGGCAACTTTCAAACATAGAGTGTCTATTCTAGGAGAATATCTGCTGAAGGACTGGTATTCTAGACCTTTCTTACAAATATCCAACATCTCGAGAAAACACACACTTAGAACCATGGACGCTTCTACTAATATCATTAGTGTTTTTTTTTTTTTTTTTTAAACTCTGCGCACTATGGGACATAGGTGGGTTTTAATCACTTCTTACACTATCCTAAAAAAAAAAAAAAAAGGCTTAGCATTAGATACACGTCTGCTGAAGGGATCTTTGGAGATATGGTGGACACAAGGCGAGTCCAGAATATAATGAGAATGGAGGTCCTACTCTAGAGAAGAGCTCTGGGAAGGGAGAAGCTGACTAAAGGTCACTTGGGGTGGGGTGCCAGGTATAAGTTAGAACAGCCTTTCTCAACCAGGGTGCCCAGGCACCCTGGGGTGTCTTGAGGTTTCTTCAGGGGTGCCTTGAGGTTTCTTCAGGGGTGCCTTGAGGTTTCTTCAGGGGTGCCTTGGCAAAATGTCTAAAAATTGCCCAAAACTTGTATACAAGCCAGCGGGTGGAACAAGCCTGCCTTTTAGTTACACAAAGCCACAGGTTTCCATTGTGCAACATTATAACCTTCTAGCCGCTGGCATCTTGACATCCAATTACATCATCAGTTGATAAGGAGGATGTCGGCTGCCTGTACAGCATCCTAGTTTGACCCTTCCCTGCCCCTTTCCATCAGTGCTGGGGTCACATTAGCCCAATGATGGAGAAAAAATGAGGGAGAGGTTAAACATTGGAATACTAGTCAGTACCAGCGTGCAAAAGTGTATTTGCTTTGGAAGAATATATCCCCTCTAATGTTGGGTGTCCTACATGTATGGATGTTGCTGCGTTATATAAAACTATTAGAATAGTCTTTCACATTTTAGAATGGGGTGCCTCGGGACTGTCCATAATTTTAAAGGGTGCCTCGGGACTGTCCATAATTTTAAAGGGTGCCTCGGGACTGTCCATAATTTTAAAGGTGCCTTGGGACTGTCCATAATTTTAAAGGGTGTCTTGCCGAAAAAAGGTTGAGAAACACTGGGTTAGAACACCGATCAGTTGCATTCCAGCCCTGTCAAGGTCAAGACCTTCTTTTTTTGGGACATCCTGTTCCAGTGCCTCGTACTAAGAAAAATGAAAGTAGGTTTTTAGAACAGCGGTATTCAATAAAATTTAGTGTGAAATTGGGTAAAAGTGCATCAGAAACTTTGGAAATGGTGAGGAAAGCTTATGAAGAAGCTGCGCTATCATCTGCACAAGTGTACCGTTGGCACAAGGCCTTCAAGGAAAGACAAGAAGGAGTTGAAGACACAACTATCAGGATGCCCCTCTTCGTCAAAAACGAAACAGAATGTGGATGCAGTGAGGTTTGTTCTCAACCGTGACTGGGGGCTCGCTATCAGAAAATGAGGAAGGGTTTGAAAGGACACCACCTTGGCAGTATGGATAACGTCCAAAGAGCCACTACGCGGACTCTGAATGCCATCCCTCTAGAAAGCTTCCAGCGATGCTATGGAGAATGGAAAAATTGTTGGGAGGGTTGTGTACATTCTCAAGGTGCATACTTTGAAGGAGACAATGTTCAGTTGTAAAATGTTTCAATTAAAGAGTTTTTTAAATATCATTCTCATTACTTTCTGGATACACCTCATATATGTCACACAGCATAATTCCTTATGTTTACCTTCAGAACATGCAGGTGGTTGCTTAAGCTGACCCACCTAACCAGACTTGATTTACAGCTACACTATATGGCTATACCTGACCATCACACCATATGGACTTGTTGGACATCCCATCCCAGCATTATTATTGAGTTCTCCCCTTTGTAGCTATAACAGCTCTTCTGGGAAGGCGTTGAACAAGATTTTGGAGTGTGTCTGTAGGAATGTATGGCTATTCAGCCAAAGGAGCATTTGCGAGGTCAGGTACTGATGTTGGACAAGAAGACCTGGCTTGCAACCAGAGTTCCATTATATCCCAAGTGTGTTCAGTACAGTTGAGGGCAGGGCTTGGCGCAAGCCACTAGAGTTCCTCAACACCAAACCGAGTCTTTATTGAGCTGACTTGCAACCAGCGTTCCATTATATCCCAAGTGTGTTCAGTACAGCTGAGGGCAGGGCTCGGTGCAAGCCACTTGAGTTCCTCAACACCAAACTCACCAAACCAAGTCTTTATTGAATTGGCTTGCAACCAGCGTTCCATTATATCCCAAGTGTGTTCAGTAGAGTTGAGGGCAGGGCACTGTGCAAGCCACTAGAGTTCCTCAGCACCAAACCGAGTCTTTATTAAACTGGCTTTGTACACAGAGGCACAGTCATGAACAGAAGAGGGCCTTCCAAAACTGTTACCATAAGGTTGAAGTAGTGTAAACCAGCTTTTCTCAACCTTTTCAACGCAGAGGAACCCTTGACGTAACTTTCCGGTCTCAGGGAACCCCTACAAAATTGGCTTTATCTACAATTCATGATACATTATTGTGATAGTCAATAGGAAGAATGCTCCTTACCTTGTGGTCATTGGGAAGAATTACCCCCTTACAGATTGCTAAAAAGATTAATGGTGTCAGTGGGAACTTACCTGAGAGGCAAAAATTGCTCATTGCTCAAGGAACCCCAGGCAACCTCTGGAGGAACCCTAGTTGAGAAACCCTGGGCTAAACTGTCTTTAGCATTAAGAGTATATAGGTAAAGTTGATCCAGGGAATATCCGATTGCCTCTCGGGGGATCAGGAAGGAACTCTTTCCCCTGCAGGAGCAAATTGGATCATGCTTTGCTGGGTTTTTTGCCTTCCTCTGGATCAACTGTGGGTGTAGGATTATAACTTTTTTTTTTAATGGTTGAACTGGATGGACTTTTGTCTTTTTTTCAGCCAGACTAACTATGAGTACCTTCATTGGAAACATCTGATTTTAATGGGTATCCAATACTTTTGCCTATATAGTGGGTGTGATGGTCAGGGGTTCACAGACGTTTGACTACATAAAGTATATCTCCTTTCGGGACCAGGACACATTGGGGATCATCACTGCGACTTATTTGATGTGTGGCTATTTGCGATATGAGTTCTCTGATGTACAATAACATAGGCCCTCCGTGTGAAACACTTCCCGCACTCTGAGCACGAATAGGGTTTCTCTCCGGTGTGAGTCCTCTTGTGCATAAAAAGACTGGCTTTATGGCCAAAACATCTGCCACATTCGGAGCATGAAAACGGCTTCACGCCGGTGTGTATTCTCTGATGTGAGATGAGGTTGTCCTTCCGAGCAAAACACCTCCCGCACTCCGAACATGAATATGGCTTTTCCCCCGTGTGAATCCGTTTGTGATCGGTAAGGGCTGAATTCCGAGAGAAACATTTCCCGCAATCTGAACACGTATACGGCTTTAACCCCGCGTGAGATCTCTTGTGACTAGCAACCGCTGAATTGCTGGAAAAGCGCTCCCCGCATTCTGTGCAGGAGTAGGGCTTCTCCCCCGTGTGAATCTCTCTCGTGTAAAATCAGTTTGCTTCTTTGGGAGAAACATTTCCCGCATTCGGAACATGAATGGGGCTTCTCCCCTTCGTGCGTTTTCTCGTGTAATGCAAGTTTACTTCTTCGGGAGAAACACTTCCCGCACGTCGAACATGAATACGACTTTTCCCCCGTGTGCGTCCTCTCGTGCAAAATAAGTTTGTTTCTTTGGGAAAAACACTTCCCGCACAAGGAACAGGAATAGGGCTTCTCCCCCGTGTGAGTCCTCTTATGCACAAAAAGGCTGGCTTTGTGGCTAAAATATTTCCCGCATTCGGAACAGGAAAACGGCTTCACACCGGTGTGTGTGTTCTCTGATGCGAGGCCAGGTTGTCCTTCCGAGCAAAACACCTCCCGCACTCCGAACACGAATATGGCCTTTCCCCCGTGTGAATCCGTTTGTGATCAGTAAGCGCTGAATTCCGAGAGAAACATTTCCCGCAATCCGAGCATGTATACGGCTTTAACCCCGCGTGAGCTCTCTTGTGGCTGGCAACAGCCGAATTGCTGGAAAACTGTTCCCCCGCATTCCGAACACGAGTAGGGCCTCTCCCCCGTGTGAATTCTCTCGTGCAAAATCAGTTTGCTTCTTTGGGAGAAACATTCCCCGCATTCGGAACAGGAACAGGTCTTCTCACCAATGTGAGTTTTCTCATGTAATACAAGTTTATTTCTTCGGGTGAAACATTTCCCGCACATCGAACACGAATAGGGCTTTTCCCCCGTGTGAGACTTCTCATGTAAAGTCAGTTTGTTTTTTTTTGGGAGAAACACTTCCCACACAACGAACATGAATAGGGCTTCTCCCCGGTATGAGTCCTATTGTGTTTCTTAAGATCTGAACCAGAAGGAAAACATTCCCCGCAATCGGGACACGAATACGGCTTCTCTCCCGTGTGGGTTCTCTGATGCAAAATAAAGTTCGTTCTTTTGGCAAAAACATTTCCCGCATTCCGAGCAGGAATACGGCTTCTCCCCGGTATGAATCCTCTGATGTTCAATGAGAGTGGATTTCCGGGTAACACATTTCCCACAGATAGGACACTGGAACATTTTACCCCCTTTATAACCCGAGGGGTAAGTGGCAAGAGGTAAGTGATTGGAAAAACTTGTCCCATGCGTGGCAGGATCAGATAGTAGATCTGTGATAGGATGGACCTTTATCATCATGTTGCTTTCTCCAGTAAAATCTGCTTTGATGTAAGTACCTTCTGAAGAGATCATGGAATATTCTCCCAGACTGTTCATGTAGTATTGTCCTTCTGCAGGGAAATAGAAACGGAGGAGAGAAGGAACACTTACAACAGATCTCCATTTATAAAAGGAAACAAACATCCTGTCCTCTCCTTCACCCCCTCCTTAACCACTGCAAGTCCGGACACTTTCACCCCCTCTTGCTTTTTAATAGCACTGATCACTGTATTGGTGTCACTGGGGATGTCAGTGACACAAAGTCAGTTCCCCCCCACTGTCAGAATGCCCGCCACAGTCCCGCTGATCGCCGCCATTACTAGTTAAAAAAAAAAAAAATCCCAGTATCTATACCGCCATTTGTAAACGCTATAAAACTTTCACGTAAACCGATTAATTTTCACGTATTGGGATTTTTTTTTTTAGTAAAAACACGGAGCAGAATACATTTTGAACAACATTGATGCTGAAATTAAATTTTTTAAATTTTTTTTACTGGACGTTTAATAGCAAAAAGCCAAAAAATGTTTTTTTTTCCAAAATTGACGGTCTTTTTTTGTTTTTAGCGCAAAAAATAAGTGATCAAATACCACCAAAAGAAAGCTTTATTCGTTGGAAAAAAGGGCATAAATTCAATTTGGGTGCAGCGCTGCATGACCGCACAATTGTCAGTTAAAGTAGCGCAGCACAGTATCGCAAAAAAAAATTGCCTGGTCAGGAAGTGGGGGGGGGGGGGGGGAATCCTCAGGAGGTCGAGGGGTTAATTTGCAGGGATTTCCTCTCACTTCCTGCTTTGGCTGTGATAGAGGAAGTAATAGGAAATCTTCCAATGGGGACACTAGTTCTGGTGACATGGGGAGTCTCCAAGGGATTCCCTTAATTTGCAGGGATTTCCTCTCACTTCCTGTTTTGGCTATGATAGAAGAAGTGAAGGGAAATCTCCCCAATGGGACACAGATGGCAGATAAAAAAAATCTGATGGGGGTTAAAACCCTGCCTTACTCCATTCAAAATGGATTACACTTATACATACCTTAAGGCCCAGTGCACACTAGCCTGCAGGCTGGTTGTGGGAATCGATGCGCAACCACCCGGGGGGGGGTGCAACCGCACTGTGGGATGAGATGTGCAGGGTTGCCATTCAGAACAAATGGCACCCTCATGCATCTCATCCTGCAGCACGATTGCAGCATGATCACGGGTGAGGGAACCACACCATGCGGCTTCCGTGCGGATGCTTTTCAGAAAAGGCACATGTACCTTTTTCTTGTGTGCATCACGGGCACAGCAGCCCATTCAAATGAATAGGCTGCTCTGCCTGCACAAACGCAGGCCGCACGGCGCACACTAGTGTGCACCAGGCTTAAAAGAGAAGTATGGTTTAGGTAAAAAATAATAATGAAGCCTGATGCTTCATCTTTCCCTGCCGGATTTACCCACTTCAATACCGGGCACTTTTACCCCCTCCCTGCACAGGACATTTTTCAGGTTTCAGCGCTCTCACACTTTGAATGACAATTGCACGGTCATACAACACTGTACCCAAACTAAAATGTTATCATTTTGTTCACACAACTAGAGCTTTCTTTTGGTGGTATTTAATCACCGCTGGGGTTTTTATTTTTTGCTAACTTAACAAAAAAAGACCAACATTTTTGAAAAAAAAAAAACACCTTTGTTTCTGTTATAAAATTTTGCAAATAAATAATTTTTCTTCATAAATTTAGGCCAAGATGTATTCTGCTACATTTCTTTGGTGAAAATAACCCAAATCAGTATTATTATTTAGTTTGTAGGAAAGTTACAGAGTTCACAAACTATGGGATATATCTGAAAATTGATCGATCCTGAAGTACTGACGGCTAATCTAATTTCTTGAGGTCCAAGAATGTCAGGACAGTACAGATATCCCCCAAATGTTAGGACAGGACAGATATCCCCCCAAATTTCAGGACAGATATCCCCCCAAATGTCAGAACAGTACAGATATCCCCCCAAATGTCAGAACAGTACAGATATCCCCCAAATGTCAGGACAGTATAGATATCCCCCAAATGTCAGAACAGGACAGATATCCCCCCAAATGTCAGGACAGGGCAGATATCCCCCAAATGTCAGGAGAGGGCAGATATCCCCCAAATGTCAGGAGAGTACAGATATCCCCCCAAAATGTCAGGACAGTACAGATATCCCCCAAAATGTCAGGACAGTACAGATATCCCTCAAATGTCAGAACAGTACAGATATCCCCCAAATGTCAGAACAGTACAGATATCCCCCAAATGTCAGAACAGTACAGATATCCCCCAAATGTCAGAACAGTACAGATATCCCCCAAATGACCACTTTTTTCTAAGTAGACAGTCCAACGTATTTCATAAGAGGCATGGCAAATTTTTTGAAGTTGTAATTTTTTTGTCCGAATTTTTCGGAAAATGAAGAAATGAAAAAAATTATTTTCACCATTCTTCTTTTTGCATACTGTCACTAGTGCAGTACATGGTCAGCATATAAATGGTGTGACGGTGATCAGGGACACCGACTGGTGGCAGTACGAAAAAAAACAAACTGATAATTTTTTATTTTTTATTAATTTTTTTTTCTTTTTTAAAGATTTTTTTGCATATTACACTATGACCAAAGTAGTATAATGTTACCATAGTAACATCGTACTACTTTGGGGAAGTGATCAGAATTTTTTTTTTTTTTTTTTTACACAATTTGATTGCTCATAGCAAAGCATTTATTTGCTATAAGCAAGCATTTAACTGAATGAAATCGATTCATTCAGGTTTTTTTTGTTGTGATTAGCTGTGATTGGCCATGGCTAATCACATGACATAGATGGGCTGTGATTGGCCTAGCCTGTACAAGTGATCCCTGTGACCATTCACAGCTAGACACACTTGTATACAATGGATGGCATGAAAGGAAGCCATCCATTGTATACAACTGACATTGGACCACAGCAGGTCACAGCAGGTCACACGGTACTGGCAACGGGGCCGGTACTCAGATCTCTCATTGGCCGTATCTGAGGTACACGGCTGGTGACAGTTCTTGCCACAGCGTGGCCCTGCTGGCACGTGCAAAGTGCGATCCGGGAAGGATGTCATATAACGCCCTCCCAGAGAGACGAGAGATTCGCCTGGCTGTCATTTGACCATAGGCACGAACGAACTGTACTCCTGTGATCCACAGCAGAAGTACAGCTGAAAAAGCTTTGGCTATACTTCTCCTTTAAATCCAGCTGGTGAAGTGGCACCTTGGAGCCCGCTGCTCTTCACCGTGTGGTGCCAGTGGCCTGTCTTCAATACAGAGAGAGGTACTTAGGTTATGACATCACTGCCGTTCTCATGCAGTATCGTACTTTGAGCCAAAGCCAGGGTGGAGATGCCCATAACTGAGTGGGATGAATGATGCCGTTCATCATTCAGCCAAAAAGAAATTCTGATGAACCTTGAGACGGTGATTTTGTGGGGGCAGCACCACAGAGGCCTAATGCTGTGTTATTTATTTTTCAACTGGAGTTCTACTATGAATATACATGATAAACTAGCTTGTATAAAAAAGGTTTCGAATGACATTCATGGACAAACCAGGTCTGAATATATGGTACTGAGTATTAAGATGGATATGACATTTCCCTGCAAACAACATCAGAATAGAATCCCGTATGAATGGCAATCTGCTGTTTGCTCAAGATACACTATATTGTCCCAAGTATTGGTCGGCCGGCCTTTCCACGCACATGAACTTTAATGGCCTCCCAGTCTTGGTCCGTAGGGTTCAATATTGAGTTGGTACCCCACTTTGCAGCTATAACAGCTTCAACTCTTCTGGGAAGGCCGTCCACAAGATTTAGGAGGGTGTCTATGGGAAGGTTGGACCATTCTTCCAGAAGCACATTTGTCAGGTCAGGCACTGATGTCGGGGGAGGAGGCCTGGCTCACAGTCTCCACTCTAATTCATCCCAAAGGTGTTCTATGGGGTTGAGGTCAGAACTCTGTGCAGGCCAGTCAAGTTCCTCCACCCTAAACTGGCTCATGTCTTTATGGGCCTTGCTTTGTGCACTGGTGCGCAGTCATGTTGGAACAGGAAGGGGCCATCCCCAAACTCTTCCCACAAAGTTGGGAGCATGAAATTGTCCAAAATGTCGCCTTAAGAGTTCCCTTCACTGGAACTAGGAGGCCAAGCCCAACCCATGAAAAACAACCCCATACCATAATCCCCTCTCCACCAAACTTTACACTTGGCACAATACAGTCATGCAAGTACCGTTCTCCTGGCAACCACCAAACCCAGACATGTCCATCAGATTTCAGACAGAGAAGCGTGATTGGTCACTCCAGAGAACACGTCTCCACTGCTCTAGAGTCCAGTGGCAGCGCGCTTTACATCACGGTATCCGACGCTTTGCATTGCACTTGGTGATGGAAGGCTTGGATGCAGCTGCTCGGCCATGGAAACCCATTCCATGAAGCTCTCTACGCACTGTTGTTGGCCTCATCTGAAGGCCACACCAAGTTTGGAGGTCTTTAGCTATTGACTCTGCAGACAGTTGGCGACTTCTGCGCACTGTGCGGTTCAGCATGTGCTGA